CCACGCTCAGTGGGGAGTCTGCTTAAAGATTCTCTCTCCCTCTCCCTCTGCCCCTCTCCCTGCTCACTTGCTCTCTCTCTCTCTCTCAAATAAATAAATCTTTAAAAAATAAAATAAAATTCCTATTTTCTTAAATTCTGAGTTAACATTCCTTTAGCCAATGATGGAACCATAGAAGCCCATTAGTAAACTCAAAAGAAAAACTAAGGTACACCATAAAAAAGGATTAAACCTGAAGGATTAAATTGTGTTTGCAGCCACTGCTACACCACCTCTAGCTCACCCAGCTCTAGCTGAAGGAGAAGGGGGGTAAGTAAGGAGGTGTAGACTGCAAATCTACTGGTGATAAAGCACTGAGGAAGCGACTGGATACAAAAGCCACTAGCAAGAGTGCACCCTCTACTTGAAGGGTGAAGAAATCTAATCATCACAGGCCTGGTATTGTGGCACTCTGTGAAATTAGATGTTATCAGAAGACCGCTGAACTTCTGATTCGTAAACTTCCTTTCCAGCAGCTGGTGCAAGAAATTACTCAGGACTTCAAAACAGATTTGTGCTTCCAGAGTGCAGCTACTGGTGCTTTGCAGGAGGCAAGTGAGGCCTATCTGGTAGGGCTTTTTGAAGACACCAACATGTGTGCTATCCATGCCAAATGTATAACAATTATGCCAAGACATCCAGCTAGCACACTGCACACGAGGAGAATGTGCCTAAGAACACACTATGATGGAAAACATTTCATTCTTTCAAAAAAAATTTTTTTCTCTTCTTCCTGTTATTGGTAGTTCTGAATGTTAGATATGTCTTTTTCCATGGGGTCAACAGATATCTAAGTATATGATTGAAAGTGGAAAAATAGAGGACACAAATCAGGTATTGGCAGTTTTTCCATTTTCATTTGTGCGTGAATTTTTAATATAAATGCAGGGACGTAAAGCATTAATACAAGTCAAAATATTTCAGTGAACAAGTTTCGGCAGTTCAACTTTATAACAATTATAAATAAAACTACTAAATTTTTCTGCACAATGCCAGCATTTGGATTTTTTAAAAACAAGTAAATTTCTTATCGATGGCAACTAAATGATGTTTATAACATTTTTATCATACAGTGGATTCCATCCATTAACTATACTTTTCTGAGTTGTCCTACATGCAAGTACATGTTTTTACTATTGTCTCTCTTCTGTGCTGTTCCTGTAAGTTTGCTATTAAAATACATTAAACTATAAAAAAAATTTTAATAAAAAAAGGAAGGATTTTTTCTTCCTTTATATAAGCGTTATTAAAACTTGGAATTTTAAAAACTACATATATTCAAATTGTCTGCATTACAATAAATAAAGTGTCTAGACATAATTCAGAGTGTTAAAATTATTTCTACTCTCTGGAAACCAAGAGCGTCCTTGTTAAAGTGTAAAATGAGATTTCGCCTACTTGCAACTCCTTGTTCTCACAGCTGAACTGTCACAGCATGAAAACATTCCCCTACTGGTGCAGCTTTAGATACCTACTTCCCTGGTGAAAGAGCGCAAAAGGAACTGAAAGAGTTATTGACGATTCATACAGTATCCCATACCCCATTAGAGTACAACTACAAGCAAAGAGAATATTTTAACTCTGAAGGGAAATGGGACAACAATGTTTTAAATGATTGTTGACTTCACTGAGTAGCATGAAAATGTCAAAAGAGTGTCAGGTTGGTAAGAGACTCAAGATTATACAAGAATCTAATTATAAGAAGTCTATTTCTTTGTCCCGTTTGCTAAGTCAAAGGTTAATGAGAAGTACGCTAAAGAAAACACCTCCTGTGTTATTGCAAAAAATTTCTCATGCAACATAAAAATGTAAATGAAAAAAGTATTTTAATCTAGTTCTCTCCATTAACATTTTTAAAAAATAGCTTTTGAGGTATAATTTACATGCCATAAAACTTACTCATTTTTAAGTGCTCAATACAATGATTTTTAGTAAATTTACAGAGTTGTGCAATCTCACCATGATCTAATTTTAGAATACTTGCATCGTCTCAAATCCATTAACTTCTTGATCTAAGATGTTTCCATAAATTCACGGAAGCCACTGGTAAGTTACTATATATTCAAAGCCACACAAATATCTGCAATTGAGCAGGAAAAGTGCAAACTAACCTCACTTTTAATGACTTTTATAATCAATCCTCTACTCTGGCACTGGAAAGAAAACGTTCAGGTGCTTTCTCTGAAAGTTAAACCATTCTAAGTATTAAGTTATGGCACACTGTCTTGGAAAGAAATTAATTATATTTTTGTTGGTAACACATATCAGGCTGTTTACACAGCTGACATTTCTCAGCTGTACCCAATTCATGCCCTAAGCTGTGAGGACGATCTTGTTTTGTAGCAGATGCCTCCACTTAGTGATTTAAACAAGTAAAAAAAAACACCATCGCCTGCAACAATATAGATTACAAGTGCCAGCTTTATGAGTTTTTATAATCCTAATGAAAGAAAGGTTTCATGACATTTCTTTGGCTAGGATCTCCTTAGAAGACTACAGTTATAAGCCATTTTTGCCAAAACCTAAGTACTGGAGCTAGTGGATCTGCTATGGCACCAGTTAAAAGCAGCCGGGCCTTAAACATCTTTGTTGTATCAAATCATGCAGCTCAAGGCAACATCCTGCCAATGTGGCAACATTTGCTCTAGGGAGGTGTGGGCAGGCATCATTTCACAGGTTCTGGGACAAGGTGCAAATATGAATAATGAGGCAAAAAGAATCAAGTCTCTTAATGGAGATTCCCTCTTGTGTTAGCTGTGACTTAGATACAACACCAGGTAGTATTACAGTCATTCTTGAATATGGTGAGTTTAAGCTGCTTTCCATATTCTCCTATAGGAATTGCATTAGAACTCTTTGGTAAAAAATTAAATGTTATAACAATCATTAAAACATGGGCCTCATAAAAGACTGTGTCAAACTCAGTTTAATTTTTTAAAACCTAAAATGTATAGGGCATGATCCTACAGAAGAATTTATCACTGAATTCTTCACTAAATTTGCCTATCACTCTTGGAACTTGAATCTGCAAAGCCTATTTCAGTCTGGTGTCTTCAAGTATGGGGTCTCAGAGCAGTTGGCTTTTCAAACCCTGTGAAGTTCCACATTTCTGGACGATATCACCTTATGTTCTTAAAATTATTTTTGCTTTAACCTTTGTATTATAGAAAATTTCAAATATATACAAAATTTGAGGAAACAGTGTAATAAACTGAATATACATATCATCCAGCTTCAACAATGATCAATATGTGGCTCACTTGGATTTACCTGTATCTCTACTCACACTCCCAACCCCACAAGTTATTTTGAAGCAAATCTCAAATACCATTTCATTTATATAACCCAGTCAATTCTTGCATGTGATACTTTTCTGAGTTAATATTATATGTTAATATTAATTGTAATAGTGACTCATTTATTGAGCGTCTACTGTGAGCCAGGTACAATACACATATTATCACTAATCCTCCTCATAACAATACTGCAAATTAGTGAGGTAACTGAAGCTCAGAGAATTTAAGTGACATGGTCAGATCTTAATTATTTTCTTCTATTAATGTTATTATTTCCTGTAACAGATTATTAAGACAATGCTAAGAACATTTCTGTTTTCTCCATGTCTCTCCAGGTAAACAGAAAGCTATCATTTATGAACATTACTCTTATCTTTGTAAAAATAAATGTAGCACATTTTCTGTCAAATGTGTCAAATTTTCTCCAATAGGGAAAAAAAAATCCAAAGTAAAAACAATCACCACATCCCTATTCGTTATCCATGGACAACCAGTCAACAAATCTAATGATTTACTCTATCAACATTAAGATCAGTTGCTTAGAAATAAATATGACTATATGTAAACAAGTTTTCCCACTTAAAAAAAAAGTTCCTCTATTTTCTGATTATTTTTAAAGTTCTAAAACCTACAAAGCATTTTCCAAAAGCACGGTGTTTAAACTGTGAAATAATTTAGACTCAGATAGCATCTACATAAATTGTTTAAAAATGTTTCTATCTTCCACAAAATGTATGATGGTGGTGTGGAGAGAGAAGGAATAATTATTATCCATATAGAAACACAGTATTTACCAGAAAATAAAAAAAGGTAATTTGCTTCCTAGCTATAATCATTTGGGTATTTATTATTAAAAGATGTTTACAAAGTCTCAATTTCTTTTTAGCCCTATTCATTACAAACATTGGACTTAACTTCAAAATTCTTGAAACATTCTCATTTTTTACCTTTTCTTCTTTTTCTTTCTTTTTTTTTTAATGGTATCTGGTTAGAACAAGATTATGGGTAAAGTGGCCAAAATGTAATTTCAGCTGGCCCTGTTAGATGATAAAATTTACTTTCTGAGAAAAGAATAATCACTGCAAACAGGACAGAGACAGGCAAGTTTTCAAAATTTACAATAGGATAATCATTGTAAATAGATATAATAACAGGTAAAAAAGACAGACTAAATCTTTTCCTCTAGCTTTTTATGGCGGTGAAAATTATGGGTATTTTAAGAATAAAGGGCCATTAATATTACTGTAAAAATTAACATTTTAAAAAAGTATCAACCTACTATGGGAAATGTACTTTTAAAATTAAATATAATGATTAGGTTGATTTTGAGACAACTGTAATTTAGGAAAAAAAATTGTGCTTGGGATATTTCATTAGGAATGTTTAAATATATTCTTTTCATTAAGGAAAAAATTAAATCAAGCAGCATCAAATTCCTATTGATATTATAACATTACCAAAAGAATGTTGATATACTTGGTTTATGATATCTGTTCTGCAAATGAACTCAAATTATCACAACTCCTTATTTTCACATTATTTGATTTATAAGGTTCTTTCAATGGAACATTCAAAGCATTTGATTCTGCTTATTATCACAACCAATTAGATTGAAAGTGGCAAGAGAGAAGAGAATAAAAAACTGGTAACTCAACTGTCACTTACCGAGTCATCTGTGGCAGAAGTTGGCCAGCCCTCCCATAATTGATGGCGAACAGGGATACTAGTAAGGTCATACACATTTCTCTTTACCTATACAAAGAAAAAGACAGCACAATTAAAATAAGGTTTCCACATGACTTATGATCATTGCCATTTATGTGATATTCACTGTATTTCCTTTTCTGGATTTGAAACAAAAATTTGAAACTAGGAAAACAAAAGTCAAAAAATTTTGTAAAAAATTCTAAATCAAATTTAAAAGCAAATTCTCAATGAAGGCTAGGGGAAATAAAGGTTCAATAAACATCTCCCTCTGCCGATTGTTTTTATATTCCTGGATGACTTCAAGTTTCTTTTCAGTCAGGAAACTTTAGGTACACAGTTCATCTATGATGGACTATAATTATAAATGTTATTAATGTATTAAATCTTTAAATGACTCATGATGTGCAATGAACAAAAGATATACTTCCAAGTTTCTATGTAGTTTTTGATGGTTGTGTTTTATTTTTTGGACAGGGCAGGAGGAAAAACCTGAAGGTATCTTTATTGTTTGGTGGAAGTTTCAAAGATATAAAAACTTAATAAAGCAGCACAGATTATTTCTTTGATATCACCCCAAATTAAAAACTATTTCAACAGAATATTTATTAACTGAAAGTCATCTATTAACATATTATTTAGGCTCCTCCCGAAAATAGGGTAATGATACTTTTAAATACTGTTAAAGATGAAAACCTACTTTTCTCAACATGCAACATTGTACCTTTCATTTTAAAAGGACAGGAGGTAAGTAATTTCTCCAAATAAAGTGTTGGAAGGTTAAACTCTATGTTACCCAGTAATTAAGAGGTATGGTATCTGTCTTCAGCTTTACTTCTAAATAGGACACAGAAATTCTATTTCATTCTGAATGTACAAATTAAAAAAAAATAACAAATCCTAAGAATGGAGAGATCACCCATCTTAATTAACTCTTCAAGTTAGTTACAGGAATACCTGACTGTAACAAGTAAAGCTAGTATTGAAATGTTGCACATAATCTGTTCTATGACACTTCGATATGGAAAACAAGCAGTATTCATTCATGTTTTAAAAATGCAGAAGCCTAAAGTATCACGTTATCCAATTACAGCATCTTGTATCACATTACTGTTTGTTATATATAAACACATCTAAGTTATCCTTCCAGTGAAATAGAGATATATATTCACTGGGGAAAAGAAAAACAACAAAACAAAACTCAGAACTCAATATATTTTTATCTCTAATGTACACCTGTGAAAAAAGACTAAGTAAGTGAGAACTGAGGAGCTTGGGGGCATGGCTTGATCCCCACTCAATTCAAACAAACAGCTTTTCTTCAGAGATTCTTAGCAATGGCTAGTCTACCATGCAGTATTTTGTTTATGGCCAGCTGCATTAAGTTTGGAAATTTTCATTAGTTATTATCAACCCAACAATTTAACCAAATGCAACTGGGCAAACTTCTGACCACTTCCACTAGCGTATTTTGTCATGCTTAAACATTGGTGCCCTTAAGGAACAGGGTGTTTCATAAACCCAAAGCATTATATTAATAAAAGAAAGGGAAAGGACAGAAAAGGCATTATGAGGAGACTTTAGGCCTCAACACAAAAAATTCCTTTCTTAAAGTTATTTTTGAATTATGTTGTCTAGATACACCAGTTTCCTCAGCTATTTTTTGTGGGGGGGGAGGAAGACAAGACAAATATTTACATCTGTTGGAAAGGTAGCAAGCCTACCCCAGCATTGAAGAGTATATAAACAAATAACTCTGTGGAGTGGGATTCTTTAAATTCCACCTTAATTCCAAAACACAACAATATGGTATTATGAAATAAACAGTATTTTTCTTCTTCCATTAACTCATCTGTAACTGCACTGAATTGAATAACATTCCTTTGCTATTCTAAGCCTGAAAAGCATGTTCTGGCTATAGTGTTATGTTGGTATAAAGCACAACGCCAGACTGATGTGCTGAACAAAAGTGATCAAAGTTAGAGTAATGTTAGCCATTGCACAAGTATTTGGCTTCATTGTTCTTCCCAGAATGACATCTGTTAAGCAACTTGTCATAGAATAAACTGGTTAATGCGGACAGAACTTGGCTGAGACAGTACAACGTAAAGCATATTAGGGAAAGCATATTAGGCTAATGTTTGATTGTTCCAATGAAAAACTAAATTGACAGAGTTTCTGAGATTAAGCGAAAAGAATCATGTGTTAAACCACAATCACTAAACAACAATTTAAGTGAAAACAAACTAGTCTTTCAAAAATAATTTCCTATTTTATCAATGTTGTAACCATAGGCAGATTTTACCATTATATGAAAGAAAGATAAGTGATAACGATAGCAAAAGCACAAAATGAGTGATAGTTTTACTAATGGAGATACTCAAATTCCATTTTCTTCATTGACAGTTTTATGTAATTAAAAATTTACGTCACAATCTTGCAGAGAAGGAAAAAAATCCCAAATGTACACAAAAGTAAAAATGATTCTTTTAAAAAATTAGTATTCTAGGAAACATGAGTAACAAAATACAGCTGTGTATAAAATGATGCAGATGAATTTAAGATCACCATGAAACATATGAAGAACACAGAGTTCTCTTAGGGAAGAAGGATGGAGAAACAGAGGAAGGAGAGTGAGAGGCTGGGGGGAGAAAGGTAGGACTAAAGGGAAGAGGGAAAGGGGACAGGGAGGAAGAGAGAAACTGAGAGACTGATTGATTTGAGAGATTTGACAGCACTTGAGAGAGGCAGAAAGAACACACACACAGGCTGGGATGTTGTAGCTGGCATGCCCAGCTGCCATTATTGTGCTACTTCTGATGGAGTTTCATCTTTAGAGATTTGTGTTAAATTCCATTTAAGGACAAGTGGCACTTCACAGGGTAACATTTCCTAAGGGCCTTTTTGTCTTACACATTTTCTTTGATCAGCATTGGCTCAGTAACATGCTGAACCTTCATAATCTTTTCAATTCTGGTTATGCATTAAGCTCTAAATCTATGAGATTTCAGGCTGCTAAACTATGCAAATGTTTCAATTAGTTCTGAAGAAATTTAATAAATGCTTTGATTACCAGCTGAACATTAAAGTTATGTTGCAAAGTATACTGTATATGGATCAAGTATTCTACATTGACAACAGACTTTTCAGAGTTTGTTTTCTGTATTTTCTAAAAGGATAGTTTCATTTCTTCCCATGGCCTCAGATAAGATAATTGATTGTGACTAAGAAAAAATTAGATTAACTTGAAATAGTACAGAATTAACACAGTACTGATTTGCTTTTCATAATAAACATTTATTATACTATAATTAATATATAAAGCTAAGCAATGCTCTTAACTTCAAACTTCATATTTCCTCATGTGCATTTTCAGTGATAAATACAGCACTGGGGAAAAGACCATTTTTATTATGACCTGCTCAATATAAAATTATATTAAGATCTTCATCTCCCACAAAGTTTTCTTTTGAGTTCCATAAGTTTTCAAATTATTTTATTTTTTAGTTAAATTTTATCAGAATTTCTTAGAAAAAAAATTCTTATGAAGTTACTCTGCTAAAGGCTAAATTTTGAGGCTCAGATTAGCCTCGAATGAGTTGTTTGTAGCTATTCAAACTGAAATATAAAAAACTTGGTTAAAACTTGTCAGCCTTAATAAAATCATTCCTTGTGTGCTAAATGTTGATCAAACTACTGAGAAACATTTCAGGGAATTTTAAATGTCATTTCGGTATTATCCAAGAGAAAGCAGATTCTGATAGTAGAAAAGGCACAAGGTTTGAGGTATTATGGCATAATGAGAGGAGAGAACTAGATTTCTAGTCCTAATTTTGCCCAGCTATTATTGTGGGCAAGTTGCTGAAATCTCTCTGAGACTTAGTTTACTCAATATTAGAAGAGAATAAAACAAGATCACTTTTGATTTTCAAAATTCTAAAACTTTATGACAATATTGGAGTTAATCCTAGGAACAGGAAAAGAAGAGCATTCTATATGTAAGACAAGGAAGTAATGTGGGAAAGTTTAAAATGAACATGGAAGAAAAATAGTAAGAGTTAATACAATCATCCAAAAGGAAAACTGCAAATAATTTCATGTAAGAATAATAGATTTATAATAAGCATTTAGGTGAATTTTTGTCTTAGATGAGAAAAGTCTTAGCTTTTGTTTTTTATTAAACTAAAAAGTCTACACTTTTTAAAAGGCTAAATAACAGTTTCCTCTTATGAAATCTCATTTAAAAGTAAAGCCAGTCATGTTGGTTTCCCAAATAACGATTCCATCAACCAAATGTTTCAGTGAGGCTATGGTTTTGCCAGAATACTACTAGCTAAGTGATACAGTTGTAAAGTTCCATTTATTTATGTCAACATCTTTAAAATTTTGAAATCTGGCTCAGGATTCTTCACATATCAAACATTTTAATATAGCAAAAAAAAAAGAAACAAAATACTTAATTTCCATGGGATTAGAACAGCTATAAATTTATGAGTATTCTAGTTCCTAATTTCTCTGTATTAAGAATACTATGGCAAATTACAACCCTTACCAAAAAGCACCCTGAAACAGACATCTATCTCATTCTCTTATCAATCTTAGAAGAAAAAGGCCTTTGGTCCTATTAGAACCTGAACTTATCCAAATTTTAATTATATCAAACTTTGAACTCCAAGTACTTCACACTACCAGATGATGCTCTGGTTAGGAGTTTGCTAAATAGTAACTGCACTGAACAAATAAGTATTTGTGTGTGGGTGTTTAAATCAAAATAAGGCATACAGACTAGGCTTCCTTCCAGTTTCCTAGCAATCTTTGGTGCTCTGAAAGGCTTATAGTTAAGAAACCAATCATTCCTGATCCAGACTGGGTTTTGAACACATACTTTATATCTAAGGACTTTTCTTTTTCTTCTTCTTTTTTAACATATTATATACTCACTGCAGTTGCAGATGGATTTGTTTTACTAAGATGCAAGTTAAAACCCTCCTAAAAATCCTTCCTGAACAAAAACACTTGAAACCGGATGGTGCAAGGGGAATGAGAAG